CTTGTGAACACGGCAGTGAACCTTTAGGTTCCATAAGATGCGCGATATTTCTTCGCCAACTGAGCTACCATTAGCTTCTAAACAAGACTCTGATCTGTGGAGTTAGCAATGTAAGTGGAAGCACACAAACTATGAAGAGGAAAGAATTTTCATGCTCTATTAAGAGTGTACACAGATAATGTGTAGTTCATTTATCACAGTCCATTATAACGTGTAGATACGGTAGCCGTTATCGTCTACCCGACTTCGAATTTGCTTGGAGACGCTGGTTGACTTGAAGTATCAGGGAAAGAATTTGTCCACCCCTGCTGCCATGCATACCCCCCTGCGTTGTCATTTGCACAGAAACCTTGAACCCTAAGGGATATTTCATCATGCGGAAGTTCAGCTCCTTGTCAACGTTGACAGGCGTATGTGACATCCTGACCCATACCGTCCGAGGTTGTTTCGGTTGTGAGCAAACATAAAGCGTGTCTGACCATTTTGTGCATTTAATATATTGAAAATTCTGACTGTAAGCATTGCGTCCATTATAGTTTTCCAGTCTTATCCAAAATTTCAGTGGACCTCCTTTCAGTCCATCAAAATTAATGAAAATAAAATCAGAGGTTCTCAAGCTATATACTGACGGACAGACAAATATAGCAAAGCTAAAAAACACATTTTTTTAACTTTAGTTTCTAACTCTCCCAAAAAAGGCGTTTGTGAACTTTGGCACAATACGATAGAACAGGCACTAACCATTTCAGCATAATCTTACTGTTACACAGATTAGGATCATTCTTTGTCAACTGCATGACCTGGATTTCCAACATGGTGCTCATGTCAGCACAAAGGTACATTTGATTAGATTACGGCTGACACCATACTTGCTCCGCGTTCATATATGCTATCTTAAATTACACGGTTATCAACTCTTCATTTTTAATAATCTAAGCAATGCTTCGAATTTTGCAGCAGTGCGGTTCCACTTCAGAAATGATGGAGGCAGCAAAGACCTCCGAAACGTCGGTAAACTTCTACCAGACTAAAGGGCGCTACATTCCAGAAGACAACCACCTTCGGACTCACCGCCGTAAAAAACTCGGATCCTACATCATTAATCCTGATTGCAGTTTTCAGTTGTACCTCAGCTAGTAAAGAAATTTCCCGTCTTTACGAAACCCAAAGATTCATTAGACCCGACTGCGTTCACAATAGCCCGCCACTGTACCTTATCTCTAGCCAGATGAATCCAATCCACTCCTATAAACTAATTCCCTAAGATCTATTAGTAACGTTATCCAATTTACGCCTCGATCTACCAAATGGCCAATTTCCTTAGGGTGTTCAGACTAAAATGTATCCTCTGCTACATATTTATCATATTCCCCACATGCCCCGCCTTCCTCACCCTAATATTTGGCCATTATAATAATAAGGCATTGTTGACAACAATAATGATGTCCACGCACGTTATTCGTTGATAATTTCCATCTTTAAATTATAAGGGAAGTTTATTGACACAAAAATGGTTACTTGTCTAACATTCTTGGCACTTCAAAACGTCAAGAAAAGCCGCGGTTGCGTGGTTGCACCAGTGTTTTGTGTTCTGGATGTCTCAGGTTCGATTCTCGGCTCTGAAATCAACTATACAGACTAATGTTCCCCGTGTTACTCACCCCCTTCAAACAAATACTGTGACAGTAACCAAGGTTAGGAAATATATGCACAGCATAATAATTTTACCCCGATCGCTCTCTTATTGTTTTTATTTAATTATCTCCAAAACGGTTAGACTTGGTTATATTAGGACTTCAACGAACAGGCTTTTGTATTCGATGGGGCGAACGACTCATTTATGCGCGTTCCCAACTAAAAGTTGCAAAAATTGACCAATTAGCTATTGCTTCTCGATTTATTAAACGACAACATCGAGTAATATACATTTTTCACATTCAAATGGATGAGTGAGTGAAGGTACGAAGGAAAACATTTAAAAGCACCAGTCAGGATAGTTGACCATATGGCCGATAATCGATCACTTATTTGTAATACGTTCATTCACTTACCACATCTGACAGTAACGTTACTACAGTCAATGATGCAATTTGCGTAGTCGAACAGAGTTTCACAACATGCACGCACGAATAGTGAGTCAGGACATTACAAAATTAACACCAGTTCATATCTCTGGCAGTACCATACACTCATAAAATTTCGCAATATAATTTCACACTACCACGAACAGAAGCTATCGAGATTTTACTTGTCCTATATTTCATTATTGCAGGGATCGCCCACTAATCGGACTGGCTCTTGAGAGCAACATGCTCGATCCACGAAGTCGCGAGGTGCACTGACCACTATCTGTCTCGCTTATCAAGCTGAGAGTCCAGCTCTCTTGACGCACATCACTATCGGAGTATATGAGGCAGATTACTAATCAACAAGTCACAGTAACGCCTCTGAAACAAATATTGATGCTGAACTAATGTGGCGCCTCTGACAGTCACTATTTCCACAATGAATTTTACCAGTAGCACATGCGTACACCTGCACTCTTTAACGCTGCGTTTAAAAAAGAATTTTTCTATTTGTTAACATTTTAATAACGAGCAAACTAATATTTACTGCTCCACGATTCACTCTGACTTTAACAAGAGCTACAAGGTCTATTTATACCATTCTAAAAAAAATCATAACTATTGCAACACAACTTTTTCGAAAGTCCAATTCGCATAATTATTTTTCGTGAACCTAAAGGATATAGAGCGACAGTCGCCCGAACAAAACTGCACATGATAAGGTTCATAAACTGTCGTCTTTTTTTAATATCAGGTGATCAAATAAAGGCGGGTGCGATAAGCGGCGCATGTAACACGCATGGGAGCGATGAGAAACGCGTACAAAATTATTGCTGGAAGACATAAAGGAAAGAGAGCCTTTAGAAGACCTCGATGTAAAGGGAAGAAAAATAAAACTGATCTTAAGAAATAGGGAATTACTAGATGGGTTTATTTGGCTCAGGATATGACCAAGCAGAATGCATTCTTTTCTGAGAAGAAAAGGGATTGAACTTAAACTGCATATAGTTTATCCACAAAATATGTATTCACATAAAACTTCTTGTTCAAAGATAACCATTAGTAGAACAGTAATAAATAATTAGTTCGTGCC